TTTATTTGAACATTTTAATAGCTATATTTCAATATAATTGGTTTCCTCTGTCATTCTATTATATCATTTTATGTATTTTAAAATGCTATGCTAAGAAGGGATCTATAGGCTTCACTAGACTGTCAAAAGGATCCATGGCACAAAAATGGTTAAGAACCTCTATTTGGTGAAGTAAGAGCTCAGACAAAGGTGGATTCAAACCTAGTCTCAGACAATTTCTTGTTCTTCTCCTTTGAACAAAATTACTCAATCTCCCTGATCCCTGAATTTCCTCATCTTGATTGAGGAAACCAATACATTCACAACACCTACCTCAGGAAATGATTCATTCGTCAAAAAATGTATTGAACACCTACTGTGTGACAAGCAGAAGGCTGAGTTCTGGGGCTACGTGAATGAGCATGACAAAGACGGTCGTTAAGCACTTACACAGAAGATCATGTTATGTAAAGTATTTAACACCGTGACTGGCACATAGTAAGCACTATAAACATTATAGTATTTACAGCTAAAACCACAATATTGAGTGCTTAACTATATGCTGATTTATGTTGCTTCCCACATAACAACTGTTGGTTTATCTAGCTCATGCCTTCCCAACAAGGCTTCTCAGAGGCCGGGGCTGGGCCTCATACTCACAGAGGGGGCAGCTTCCTAGATAAAAGAACACAGGATTTGGAACCAAATGGTCCTCACTTCCAAACGCTGCTCTGACACCGACCAGCACTGTGACTATGGCAGAGACCAGCCGTTTTCCCCTAAAATCTGTTCTCTCTTTCCGCTACAATAACAGAACCCTCAGCTTTTAGCTGGGCATACAGCCACTGGAATAAGGACAACATTTCCCAGCAACCCTTGCAGCTAAGTATGGTCATGTGACCAAGTTGTAGCCAATGCGGATGTAAACAGAAATGATATGTACAGCTTATAGGATGTGGCCTTAAATTAAGAGGGTCTGCCCTTGGCTACTCCTTTCCCTCCTTCCTGATGGAACAGGAACAGCCATCTTGGACCATGAGATTACCTTGGGAATGGAGGGTATATACATGGAACAACAAGACAGGAGGTGTCTGGGTCCCTGACACTGCAGATCACCATACCAACCTGGTACAGTAATCTACTTTGGGCAAGTTACTTAACCTCCCTGGACCTCAATTTCTCCATCTATAAAAAAGTGATAATACAAGTATCTAATCTGCAGGGTTGAGGACTGAATGAGATAGGACTTGGTTCATAGTAAGGGTTAGAGTTAAGAGAACTGGTATTACTACTGTTATTCTTCTACTGCTACAATGAAAAATGTAGGAGATCGAGACATCTTAAGACAGCCCTGGACGCCCAGAGGTGGCTCAATGGTTTGAGGTGAAAGGCTTCCTAGCCAGTTTAGTCCTCCTGGCAAGAATTCCCTTCTCCAGCACCCTTGTCAAATGGTCCCCCAAAAAGGCAAGTGCACTACCTCTGGGTCAACTGTTGGGACAGTGATGTTTGGGCATCTATGAATCATGATCCTCATCCTCTTCCTTCAGAATCTTTCTCATGACTGCCCCAAACCGCTTCACTTCTCTCCTCTACCTTTTCCTCTATTCTGCCTTTGATCACCCTAGTCCTGCCTCTGAGCTCTCTCCCATCAGTACATCAAAGTTTCTTTCAACCTCTTTTGGAAGCACTAACCCTCCCTCAGAAACCTTCCCTAACTAACTGAGAAGTAAGTGATTACTTCCTCACAACCATCCTAGTCAAACAAGAGGCTTCCTAAACTCTACAAATGAACTTCTCTCCAGATGGAGGAGATTGCAAATGATCTCCAGCCACTTACAGGTTCTCCATCTCCTACATTTTTCATTGCTAACACTTTTAAAGCTATTTCGTCTTGTCTGCAACATCAGCACTGGTCTGGGAGGCATAACTCTTAATGGACTACACAAAATTGAAACTTGCTTTACGTGTTTAAAGCTTATATATATCCTTCCTGATTTTTCCCTTCCCGTTCTTAAAGACACAAATCCTATTCTATTTCTCCCAGATTGTTGTAATGTTTCCATGTCACTGTCACTCACACAAGCTTCTCCCAGGCACAGCCAGGACCACTCTCTTCCTCTCTTCTTATTCCCTCTCTTCACAGTCTTCCACATTCACACATGCCCATCCTCTTTCTCTCCCATCTCTCAAGCCTCTGGTTCCACCAAATTCTCATAGTGGAGACTTTACTATCTTTATTGCTCAACTAGGCCCAGGGTAGGATGGCTCTGGAACTGGAACAAGGGTTGCTGCGGTAACCAATGGTCCTGGGTTCGGTGAGGCACTCAGGGCTGCAACACAAGGAAATAAGACACAATGGTCAAGAGGGCAGGTACAAAGCCATGCAGCTTCAGTAGGACAGAGACGTGAGTAGGGATCAGTATGCAGACAAAGAAACCTGATCCAAATCCTAGATACTGGCAAAGGAAGGGAGCAGAAAAGCACGGCTCTAATGATGTCAAGAGAGTTGCAAGCATCTCAGAGATTTACCCTGCTTACCCCCTCACATACTGTCACAGGGTTTTCTAACTCAAACTGTCAGTTCTAGTGGCCAGCACTTGTATCACTCTCACTTTGCGGAGCACTTAGCCTTATCCTACTTTTTACAAACAAAATTTTATTCCAGGTATGTGACCCACAGGGACATAAAACCTTGGGATTCTTTGCTATTGTAAATTCACGTCACACATTAATTCACATTACACAGCAAGAATGCTGCCACGTGAATCAGACCACATCAGACTGCAAGCAGGAAACAAGACCCTAACATGGGTGCCATTCCCTCCCCAAACATCTTTTACTTCTCCAAGGTTAAGAAAGGAATGGGCTCTCCCTCCCCTATCCCTGCGCTGAGAGCCATCAGGTGATGGAAAAAAATGAGGTTCCACGAGTAGGCCCCCAAATCAGGTGGAGATGAATATGCACATCCACAATCCCAAACCATCCCCCTTCACCCATGTCTGGACTTCTACCACTGTTTCCCTTGAAGGCCACTTTTACACTCATTTTCCTCCATGGCACCTGTTTACATATGAGGGGTGGGGGAAGGGTGACACCTGGTGCCAGGACTTGAGCTCTTCTCCCTAGAGGGACTCAGAGGACAAACAGCCGGGGACCAGCAGCCAGCCTTACATTTCTTGAGCAGCCAGGAGAAACAAAAGGTACAAATGTCACATTTTCCTTGCTTTCCTATTGGCGGTTCCTTCTCCTGCCCTCGGCCCCACCCTTTCACTCCACCCTCTTTCCGGCCTTAGCCACACACCCCACCCCAAATCCAAACCTCCCGAGGGCTTCCCTTGTTTGTGTCCTCTTGTCCCACATGAATCACTAATGACTGATTTAAACCGAGACACTAAGTGAATAACAAACACAGTATAACAAATAGCAATACAGTAGTTAGGGACTGGTGAATGGAGGGCTACCTGCCTTCTTGACTGTGTCTGAACATACAGAACACATGGAGACAACAATCCCACCCACACTTTGGCAGAAGACTTACTGTCAGACTAGTGTATGTGGGGGAGGGGGGCTGGGACTAATGACCTCACCCACTGTCTCTCAGACTCAGCTACACATTGGAATAACCAGGGAGATGTAAAAGACTGATTCCTGGGTCCCTCCCCCCAGAGAATATGATTTAATTGACCTGGGGTTGTTGCTCAGAAACCAGAATTTCTAAAGGCTCTCCTAGTGATTCCGTGTATTCAAGTTTGAGAACCCTTGAATTAACACATTTACCTTGTTTCAGACATTGTTCAAGGGAGTTGAGATGTTTATAACCTTATATCCCTTGTCACAGCAGCCCTTGGAGGTATCTTCCCATTTGAGACTCTGACGTCAATCATGGTGAGGTTGAGATTTGAACCCAGGTCTTATAACTCCAAAGTCCATTCTCTTTCCATTCACCTATTAACTCGTGCAAGGATGTAGGCAATGCATAAAAGCAACTGCCACTGCCAAAAGATCACAAATAAACCCTGTAAATGGAAGACACCTAGATTCGGAGATGCAAAAACCACTAGCAGCAGTGATGACATCTTCTGAAATCAGAGGACCAAGTCATACTGGGTGTGCTCATGTGTGAGGTTTGGGGAGATGGGGAGATAGAATTCATCTGATCCTAGCTTGGGAGTTTATCCTACACCTACGATGTGTTCTAAGATAACCACACTTAAGTTGGCACTCAGTGACACAAAACATATTTTGGAATTTGAGAATGCATGAGCGCTGGGCAGAGGGGTGACTCTTTAATGGGGAGGAGTCCTTAAGAGAAGTGACAAGTGTTCACCTCTTGGGGCCACAGTTTCCTCTTCCCGCTCTAAGCATTCTGACCTTCTGTGGGGGCACAAAACCCAATCCTAACAAATCTTCTAGCAGGCAGTCTCTCTTCTTTCCAGAATATGTTCTAAGTTTGTTTTGTTTTGTATGTGTATGTGTGTGTGTGTGTGTGTGTGTGCATATGACTAGTACTCTCTAACATTTTTAGTCTATAGGCCACTTAGGTAGGGCAAAGCATTCCTTCAACCCACTATTCCACCCATTCTCACTTTCCTCTCAAAAAAATCACCATCATAATCACCAAGCCAACTTTCTCAGCATAGTAGGAACAATTAGGAATGAATGTGGACCAACACAGAAGTGGTAACACTGGAGCATCCATGCTTGTAATACTACAAGACTAGCCCACAACCCATATGGGGTCCCTAAACCACGGACCTGTAGATGGGGGGGGCCTCACCCCAAGGCACCAGACACAGACACTTTAAGAACAGCAAATGTTCCTTCTTAAAGATAACAAGCAACATTGCACCATTCCTCCTAGATCAGAAACAGACCCCTGGGTACTCTCTTCCAACACACACCAGCTGCCTCCTGGTGTCCCCCAAAGCCTAGTGTTGATGGGAAAGAACCACAACGAATTACAGGAACTAACAGCAGGTTAAACTTTCACATCGATCGCACTAATAAGCCGATTCACTTACTCAGCACCACCAGACAGCTCAGCACTAGGAAAAAGCACTTCATGTCAGCAGCCGAGAGGAGACACAACACAGGATGCTTCCTCTTCTCCCAGCACTTAATCTCTCATTTCTGGCAATCCACTTATAGCTCCAGAGGAAGGTTTTGGAAACAGAATTGAACTCAGAAAAGCAGGACAGGTTAAAGAGACCAGCAGGAGGGGGCTGGGGGCAGCATGTGTCTAACTCCTCTATGGTAAATGGAGGGTCCACACCAATTCTGAAGGCGCTCCAGGCTTCTGCCACATGGTGTGCCTTGCGTTTTCGCTGGAACTGTAGATACGTGAAAGATTAATCCTCAAGGAAAAGGGAAAAAAGTCTGAGAAAATCCTTTCATCCCCTGATTATACAGAAATGTCCTTGGCTTCCCAGTGAAGGTGTCTGTAATCTTCCTCACTCAGATTCTCCAAAGGGAACAGGGCAGGTTTTGTGAAAACGTATGACAGTCAAATCAAGCTAGCTGGCATCGACTGTTTGAGTTTCTTCATCAAAAAGTCTGCCTCCATCCATGGTGGTAGGTCATGGAACTGCCACCTGCCCCACACCTGCCCAGGACACACGAAGCAAGTTGGCGCTCGGCAGCCCTGAAGAGGTCCCACAATGCCAGCAGATTTCTAAAACAAACACAGAGATTTATCAAAGGCAAACACAACCGCCGCAAAACCGAGAGGGGCCCAGCGCTAGGCTGGTCCGGACACCTGGGTCCCGCACCTGGACCAGGGCAGTTAACCTTCGCTTTCTGACCTTGGGCAAGTCTTTACATTTCCCTGCGCCTCAATTTCCCTGCCAGAGCAGGACAACTGTGGGGAGCCCGATTGTTCCTGGAATACTTTCATGAAAGGCTTCACTCGTGGGAATTCCCTTTGCCTCCTGCCGAGCGCCGGAGCCGCGGGTAGCCCCACCCTCCGCGAGGGCAAATCGAGAAGGGGCTCCGAGGTGGGGTCAGGACTCCTGGGTTCCACCCTGGCCCTCGCCTCAAACGTGGGCACTCTGCGCGCGCCGCGTCCCAGGTGGCCCCGCTATTGTTTTACCTTCCCGGGTGTTTTATTTTTCGCTGACTGGCAAGGAGACCGGGTGAGGAAACCGAGCCGGGGGCTCCGCTTTCCGCTGCCGTGGCGCGTTCACCGCCCTCCCGACCGAGCAGGGGAGGGGTCTCGGGCCCGACCCCGAGCGTAACCGGCGCGGGGCCCGCCGCCGCCGCCCGTCCCTGCCTCCCTTCCCCGGGCTCCCAGATCCCCTCGCCGCCGGCCCTCCCTGGCGCCGCCCGCGTCCCCACCGGACACTGACCTCGCCCCCAGCCCTCTCCCTCCTCGCGTCCTTGCGTCCGTCCGTCGGTCTGGGCGCACGCCTCTGGGGACGCGCCGCTTCCCCCCTCTACTCCAGCAAAGGCACCACCAGTCGCGCTCCGGCCCCTCCCGAGTCCCCGCCCCCTCCAGCTCCAACCCGGCCCGCTGCACCCGGGCGAGCCCAGCGCCGGGCGGGGGCGGGGGCCACGGCAAGCGGTCCCGCCCCAGGCCCCGCCTCTTCCCACCTCCCTAGGACGCGGCGAGTATGGCCGGGGCCTGGCGGCGGCACGCCGGGTAGGAGCTCCTCGCTCCCTGTTCTCACCTGCCCGTGGCAAGAGAGACCTGAGGACCTGGGCATCCCTGAAAGTTAATCAGGGGGCCTCAGATTCGGGGGCCGCCAGCGAGATGCATAGGCTCTTCCCAAAGCCCACCACAGGACTCCCCCACCCCCACCCCCACCCCCGCCCTAGCCTAGAAAGGGACAGCACTAGAGCGCGTCCTATCTCGGGAAACAGACACAAAGCCGTTTGCAGGAGACTCGAATCTGTTCATGTAGTGGAACCCATATTGGGCTTCACGCTAGCGCAGAGTAAGCTAGAAGTTGAGAGCATGAACTCTGGAAACAGCCTGAGTTCTAACCCTCATTCCTCCAGTTACTAGCTGCGGACCTTGACTGAGTTACTTTACCTCTCTGCGCCTCAGTTTCTCCATCTGTTAAATTCGGAAATCTCCCTACAATAAGATTACGTGAGATGCCCGTGAAATACTTGTAAAGCATTTAGAATGGTGCCTGACAGACACATCGTAAGCACTCAGTGAATGTAAGCTATTAGTGTTTTATGAGGACCAGTCCTATACAAGCTAACCCGCTGCTGTCAAGTCGATTCTGACTCATAGCAACCCTGTAGGACGGAGTAGAACTGCCCCTTAGGGTTTCCAAGGCTGTAATCTTCACCGAAGCAGACTGCCACATCTTTCTCCTGCACAGTGGCTGGTGGGTTCAAACCTCTAACTTTTAGATTAACAGCCAAATGCTTAACCATTGCACCATCAGGGCTCCTTCCTATACAAGCTAGTGCATTTTAATTCATTTAATATTATCCAACATGCAATGTGCTGGGTAGACACCCTGCGAGGCCCTGGGGACACAAGGGGACCAAGACAGAATGAGATAGTTCTGCCCTCATGGAACTTGCAGTCTAGTGGAGGGATAGACAATAGAACAGGCAGGACAGGAAAAGTACAGAGGGTGGAGGAAGCACATAAGAGCTCTAACCCTGTGTTATGGGGGTAGGAGGCACAGATGGATGGAAGGGAGCTTGGTCAGGTCAGGTGCAGCCAGGGAAGGCTTCTTAGTGGAAATGAAAACTAGGTAGAATTCAAAGAAGAAGGAGTCACAAGCCCTGGAAACAGCACCTGCGAAAGCCCAGAGGGGAAAGGGGGTGATCCAATTGGAGGACCATTAATCTCTGTTGGGCCAAAACTAGACTGTAAGAAAGAAGTGGCAAGAAATGAGCCCAGAGAAGAAAGCAGGTGCTAGAACCTGGACAGCTTCATATAGTGTATTAAAGGGTTTGGACTGTAGCCCTGAAGGTTTTAAGTAAGGGAATATGGTTATCAGATGTTCATTTTAGGAAAACCACTCAGGCCTAGGTGTGGAGGTTGGGTGGGAGGACAGTTCTACAGGAGGCTGGAGGGCGTTGCTGAAAATCCAGAGGAGAAATGATGGTGGTCAGGACCACAGAAGTAGCGACGGGGAAGGAGAAGAGCGGGTAGGTCTTCTTGATGTCTGGGGATGAGGGTGAGGAATGGAGCAGAGAATCGGTTTCAGCTTCAACAACTGAGATCAGGATATGGTGGACAAGGTTGGAGGAGTTGAGACATCCATGAAACATCCAAATGAAGATGTCCTAAATGCAATTGGAAGGTTTGGGTTCAGAATTCAGAGAGGAGCTATGGGTCTGTAAGGCTTTTTTCACCCTGTTGGACAGTATGACAGTGAAAGGATTTAGTGAAGGAATATACTGGTAATTCACTTATTAAAAAAAAAATTAATACCTCTCAATGTGCAGAACAATGGAGAACATGCTGTGGGAAATGCAAAGCTAACTAAGGAGCCTTACTTGTCCTCACCCCACCCACTAGAATGTAAGTTCCTTGAGGACAGGGTCTGTGCTTTAATTATCATTTATCCCAAACAGCTCTTGGCATGTAGCCTGCATATAGTAGTTGCACTATAAAATCTTTCATTGAATTGAACTATACTAAATATTCAGCACATATTCAAATTATTGCACTGAAAAAAAAATCTCTTCTCATGCCTTAAATATTACCTCTTCCCCACCCCCCTCCCCAGGACAACCCCGACTCTAGCATCTTTTTTTTCTCCCTGTCTGCTCCATTGGTTCATTTACTTATTGAGTATCTACTATGTGCCAAGAAAAGTCTCTGCTCTTGTGGAGCTTACATTCTAGTAGGAAACACAGACAATGAAACAAATAAATATATAGCATAATGTGACACATGTTCTGAAGAAAAGAAAGTGGGCTAAGAGAATAGATCGTGTGTATGGGTAGTGGTGGTGGTGGTGATGGTGGTGGTGGTGGTGGTGAGTATTCTGTTTTAGGTGGAGTGGCCAGGGAAGACCTGTCAAAGGGAATGACATTTGAGGGGAGACCTGATTAAAGCGAGGGAGTGAGCTTTGGAGATTTCTTGAGGAAGAGCATTACAGGCTAGGGAACAGCAAGTCCAAAGCCCTTTAACATTCTCAGAGAATAAAAAGCATGTTAATCTGTCTGAAATAGAGTGAGAGGGAAGTAGAGAGAGGAATGTGATCCAAGAGGTCACTAGAGATCAAATCCTGTAGGACATTATATGCCTGGCAAGCAGTTTGGATGGTGCTGGCTTCCAGGGAAGAATAGATTGTTGGTGGTAGGACTGGAGGAGGGACACTGAACAAGAAGGCTTTTGCAGTTGTCCAGGTTGGACTAGGGTGGTAGAGATGCAGTTGTGTAAAGTAAGTAGAGTCTAGAAGTATTTTGAATGTAGATTCAATGGAATTTTCTGAAGAATTGGGTATGGAATGGGAGAGAAAAAAGAGAATCAAGGAACCCTCCAGAAGATCCACTTCATCCCACTTGGGAAGAAGCTCTGTAACCGTACCAAGCTGCCCAAGCACTTTTCCATGACCACATGCCAGAGGGTTCACTCTCCAGACCTCTGCCTGTGCCATGTCCTCCATCCTTGAATCCTTCCAGTCAATTATTTCTTCTCAGTTCTTTCCTTCAGGCTTAGTTATCTAGTGCTGCTATAACAGAAATACCACAAGTGGATGCCTTTAACAAAGAGAAATTTATTCTCTCACGATTTAGGCTAGAAGTTCAAATTCAGGGTGCCAGCTCTAAAGGAAAGCTTTCTCTCTCTGTCGGTTCTGGGGAAAGGTTCTTGTCATCAGTCTTCTCCTGGTCTACGAGCTTCTCAGCTCAGGCAACTTGGGTCCAAAGAATGCACTCTGCTCCCAGCATTGCTTTCTTGTGGTACGAGGTCCCCCTGTCCCTCTGCTTGCTTCTTTTATATCTCAAAAGAGATTGACTTAAAACACAACCATATCTTGTAGATTGAGTCCTGTCTCATTAACATAACTGCCTCTAATCCCACTTCATTAACATTATAGAGGTAGGATTTACATCACACAGGAAAATCACATCAGATGACAAAATGGTGGATAATCACACAATACTGGGAATCATGGCCTAGCCAAGTTAACACACATTTTGGGGGGACACAATTCAATGCATAACAACTTCTCAACTTACCCCACCTCCTACCACCTAGACTCCTTGCATCCTTCTGGATGATCTTTCAACCCTTGACTTCTATCACTACCCCAGATATGTTACAGCTGATTCCCAGTTTAGTGCTCTTTATCATTTCCACATTTATGAAACGTCTAAGATACGCAAAGAGTTGGGCGGGAGAGAAAAGTACAGTTAAGAGAATGCCTCGCCCTCCAGACATAGAAATGATTAAATGAAGACAGTGCTGAACACTGGCCATTATGGTGGCCCCTTAAGGAGATCATCAGCAGGCAGAGAACTGAACTGGAAAGAGGAGTCATAAGGGAAGGAGAGGCATCAAATGAGAGGCAGGAACATAAGTTCCCAATCAGCAAATGTGCCTGGAGCCCAGGCTGAACATTAGCAGCTTGCTTCAAAAATTTACACTTGAATTTCTAAGCCTCTCCTGCACTGGCCTAGAACCAGGCAGATATTTTGGAAGATTTCCTCAATCTTCTCCATTCCCACTGAGTCAATTTTGACTCATAGCGACCCTATAGGACAGAGTAGAACTGCCCCATAGGGTTTCCAAGGCTGTAAATCTTTATAGAAGCAGACTGCCACATCTTTCTCCTGCAGAGTGGCTGGTGGGTTTGAACCATGGACCTTTTGGTTAGCAGCCTAGCACTTAACCACTACACCACCAGCGCTCCTGATTTTCTCTGTAAGTAGGTTAAACTGAAAAACCAGTTGCCATCAAGTCGATTCCAACTCACAGTGACTCTGTAAGACAGAGTAGAACTGCTCCATAGTGTTTCCAAGGAGCGGCTGGTGGATTTGAACCGTCAAACTTTTGGTTAGCAGCCGATCTCTTAACCACTGCACCAACTCAGAAGCCTACAAAAGCCAAGCCAAAGCACAGCAGTAGGGAGTGATGGGGCTTGGGGTGGACTAGACAGCACAGCTGCACAGAGGGCTGCAAAGAAGCTTCAGTCAACTGTCACCTGATTTTCCCATTTGTCAAGAGAAGCAGGAAATTCAGATTTTTGTTTGAATTCTTTCTAATTTCACTCATTGGAAACTAGTGTTTAGAGATAAATTTAATTTCATAACATTTAAAAATAATTTAATAAAAATATAAAAA